TTAATAAACCTGTTGCTTGGCTGAAGCCCTTCTTTCCAGGAACCAGGGCTCTAAATGCATCACTACACAGCCCAGATACCGAGCAGGGCAGAGTGAGCCAGTGAGGAAGGGCATAGGCTCGAGAGCTGGACAAAGTGGGTTCCAACTCAGCCTTTTTTTTTTTTTTTTTTCTGAGACAGAGTCTTGCTCTGTCGCCCAGGCTGGAGTGCAATGTTACAATCTTGGCTCACTGCAAGCCTCCAGGGTTCAAGCGATTCTCTTGCCTCAGCCTCCTGTGTAGCCTGGGCTGCAGGCGCCCACCACCATGCCTGGTTGATTTTTGTATTTTTAGTAGAGATGGGGTTTCTCCATGCTGGCCAGGCTGGTCTCGAGCTCCCAACCTCAAGTGATCCTCCTGCCTCAGCCTCCCAAAGTGCCGGGATTACAGGCAAGAGCCACTGCACCCAGCCCCAACTCAGTCTTGAGCTGTGACTGTCAGCCTTAGTTTCCAATCTGGAGAATGGAGATGATACTAGCTCTTAGCTCACAGGGTGATGGTGTGTTAAACAAGGTGATGTACACAGACACCTTCGCATAGTGCCTTGTGCTTATAAGTGGCTTGCACGGTGGTGGCTGTTAACACTGTTGCCAGTAGGGTCTTCTTTGGGATATACAAAGCCCAGGAGCCCTAGCTGAGTCATGCCCTCATTTACCTCAAGGGTAAAACAGGTGGGCAGGAGGATCAGAGGAAGATGCTGCAAATGTAGTCAGGCTGGGGTGGGGACAGAAGGAGGAGGGAGATGGCTGGGGCACGGTGCCTCATGTTTGTAATAATCCCAGCATTTTGAGAGACCGAGGCAGGTGGATCGCCTGAGGTCAGGAGTTCGAGAACAGCCTGGCCAATATGGTGAAACCCCATCTCTACTAAAAATACAAAAATTACCTGGGCATGGTGGTGCATGCCTGTAGTCCTGGCTACTCAGGAGGCTGAGGCATGAGAATCACTTGAACCCAAGAGGCCGAGGTTGCAGTGAGCTGAGATTACACCACTGTGCTCCGGTCTGGGCAACAAAGCAAGACTCTCCAAAAAAAAGGAGGGAGAGGCAGCCATCCTTGGTGGAGGCAGAGAGCCTAGCAGTGTCTGAGACCCCCTGCCTCATGACGTAATCTCTGAGCCTCAACCCTGATCAGCCCTATAGTCTTCTTGTTTTAGTGAGGACTCCATAAATGTTCAATGAATGAATGATGTCCTACATTGACTATGAACAAAAAGAAACAGAAAGTCAACTTTAGTCCTATCATAATATATACAAGACCTGGCATCAGTATGGGTTTGGAATCACATGGACCCGTGCTTAAATTCCTGCTCTGCCACTTCCTGGCTTGTGACTTTGGGCCATTTTCATAACCTCTCAAAGCCTCAGTTTCTTCATCTGTAAAAGGGGATGGTAATGATAATAAAAGTACTTACCACATAGGATTGTTCTTAGAATTCAGTGTAAAGAGCTCACCCCTGGCACATAGTAGGCACACAATAAATGGGGACTGTCTTTAGTACTGCTACTGGACACATGCAAGGACAGTTATGAGCTGAGCCAGGAAAGCTGAGTTCTAAGCCCAGTGCCACCACTGGCTCACAGTGTGACTGTGGGCAGCTCCCCAGTTTCCTTCTCTAAATAATGAGGCCCCTCCAAGGGCCCTTCTCAATCTGATTTTCTGGGGCAGCATAGCCCCCATTTGCATGGTGGGCAGAGAAGTCTCTTGGAAACAGCTCTGCCCACCAGTCTGCCTCTTCAGACCACGCCACTGAAGGGGGTGGTGTTCCCATGACAGGGAGGTAGGCAGGCATCACTGGGAGTCTCAGAGCCTCATCTGATAACTGCCGTGGCCCCATACAGACCTCTTAGGACCAGCCCCACTCCAATGCAGGGTGCAGCCCCAGAGCCCCATCACATAGGCACTGGGTTTCAGAAGGGAGAGACCTGTACCAAGGTCAACTGTGTGCCCCTAGGTCCATCTCCTTGCCTCTATGAACCTCAGTTTCCTCACCCACAAAATGTGGATGAGTCTTGCTGGCCCCAAGGACTCCGGCACACCCAGCAGCAACCCAGATGTGAAAGTCCTTTGTGAATTGCTCCCATCAGGCATAATCATGATAATTACCGTCTGTCAAACGAGGGGGTTGGACCAGCTGATCTCTGTGGGCTTCTTCCCAGCTCTGAAGCTGGGGATTTCTTGGGGTTCTGAGCTGGGAATTCACACAGACATAGGGGGCCAGGAGAAGTCAGGGTCTGCAGGATTGTGTGTCCAAGGGAACCCCTGAAAAGTCATCCCCATTCATCCTTTTCCCCAAGCCAGCCTGGGGCACTGGGCCCCAGGGACAGGCCATGGGGAGGGGGAGCTGGAAGCTTCAGGGCCAAGTCCTGCAGGTGTGAGCCTCCGAGTCTGAGCCTCACCCCTGCCCCTGCCCAGAACTGCTCCCATTACCCAGAGCACAGACTCTGTGTGGTGCCCTCCCCAACCCCTTCTCATTCTGCATGCAATACACAGAAATGGCTAAAAGTAGAGTCATACAACCCTCAATTCAAATCTCAGGCCCAGCCACTCACCAGCTGGGTGACCTGGGGCAGGCTATTTAACCTCTCTGAGCCTTTGAGGGTTGCTCTGAGGATTAAATGAAATAGATTCATGAAAAGTGCTTACACAGGGCCCAGCAAGTGCTCAATGAATGCCCCCACCTGCATCCAATTGCTTAGGCCCCATCCTGCCTCCCCGCAACCAGCATCTTCCTAGAATTCCTGAGCTACCTGCCCAGTTCCCACCCTGACTGCCATGGGTGGGCCCAGTGTTGTAGAGTTTGGGCAGGTCCCAGGCTTCTCTGCCCATCGGAGGACTACAGAGCCCACACCTCTCCAGCCAGGGAGGGCTGTGGGCTTTGGGGACTGGGACAAGTGAGGTCTTTGTCCCAGCGGCTCTGCCCAGTCCTGTTTCTAGAGGCCGGGAGCCCTGGGAGAGGGGCTATAAGGGCAACCGTCTATCCCTGGCAGAGCTCCCACACCTCAAGTGAAAGGCAAGTGGTGAATGAGGCAGGGCTAGAGCCTTCAGCCCCATGGTGTCCTGAGCCTGCTGCCTGGGTGGGCACAGTGCCTACAGCAGTCTGCCAGGGGGTGGATGACCTCTCTCTGGACCTCCAAGATAGGGTAAGACGCAAGAGGCTGGTGATGGTGACATCAGCTCAGGCCTTGTCCTGGCAGACTCTCGAGGGTCCCTGACACTGCCAACTTTTGAGCGAGAAGAATCCGGGCTGCCCTGGAAATTCTGGCACCGAGCCTGCAGGCAGGAAGAAGTTCCCAAGGTCACCCTCCATCAGCCACCTCCACCCTACCCCTCGAGCCCTAAATCAAGGAGTGGGGCCTTGGAGAGGGCTGTCCTCTGAGCGGGGTACTGAGATGGCTTTCCCTCGCAGAACTGGGGCCCGGAGTTCAGGAGCCAAGCAGAGGGTTGGACCCATCTGCCCCACCTCCACCTTCCCTCTGCTGCCCCCACAGCCTGGCTGCGGCAGACACATGGCTTCTGTGGCCTTGAAAAGGTCACAGCCTCTGAGGTGCTCAGGCGTCTGATCCTCACCCACTGCCCCCCAACTCCAGCCTTGCCAGCAGATCCACATTCTCAGGGGAGCCTGAGGAACAGGTACTGTAGTTTCAAGAAATATTGCAAGTCCCCCAGAGACACACACTTGAGGCTCACACAACACAGTCAACCAGCTTCAACTCATGGGAGCTGTATTGCAAAGAGAGAAACCACATCCTCCCATTCCACAGATGGAAAGGAGGCTCAAAGAGGCTCGGCGGCTTGCCTGAGCTCACCCAGCTAGTGGGGTGGGGCCAGCAGGGGAACACAAGGTTCCTGACTTCCTGAACCAATGACAGCTCCTGGCTCCCTGGCTCTCATAGCAACCTAGTTCTTGGGTGGCTTGGTGCCTTGATCCTCTTGCCTGCCCCTGGGATGGAAGAGGCTGGAATCCTCTCCTTTGCACACTGGGAGAAAAGGAGGTCCAGGGAAACAGGCGAGGGGGCAATCCCTACACAGCAGTGGCAGGGCAGAGAACTGTGCCAGGTGGTTCCTCATTCCCGGCTGGTGGGCTCAGCCCGCCCCTCCCGTGTATCCCGCATTGATTTTGGGGAAATGCAAACTCCTCAGCCTGCCATTCGAGGCCCTTAATAGACTGACCCTGATTTGTCCCTACACATGCCTTCCATGAATCCAACCCAGTGTCCACATTGCCACCTCCCCGCCCTTGCCCACGCTGTAGCTGGTCTCGCCTCCAGGAGCGCCTCCACTCCTGCTCTTGCTGTGCAACTCGTAATTCTACCACTAACATTATCATTTACTGAACAGCTAATATGTGCCAGGCAAGGACTCCTCAAGGAGGAAACTTACCCAGTTCACCTGGTGATAGCCATACCAACTACCTTGGAAATGTGAAGTTTCCAAGGTAGTTTTCCAAGGGAATAAGAAAAAATTCTTACTACCCTCAAAACACTGAAAAAAAGGCTTATTTTTTTCTGGCTGTGGAGAAATATTTGATGTTTTTAGAAAAGATTTTTCTCCAGATTTTTCTGGTGTTTGCCTTTCCTTCAGTGTGTCTCTGTGTGTTTTTCTGAGTGCAGCTTTATATTTTTCAAAGCAGCTCCCAGCCAGTATGTCTGGCCCCACAAACAACATCCCCAGGGAGGCAGGCAAATAAAAGCTCGTCATCCCTGTTCTAGGGAGAAAGAAATGAGGCACAGAGAAGACAGGTGACTTGTCCAAAGTCACACAGCATAGACTGGACTTGGCATCCTGAGGACTCCCAATCTATGCCCTTTTAGACCCAGCAGAATGCCTAGGATAAGCTTGGCACTGCCCTCAGTGTTTGCTCGCATTCGCCTTCTTATCCCTTGAAACATACAAATCAGGCAGGCGCTATGATCCCCACTTCCTAGATCAAGAAACAGACTCAGAGGGAGAGAGGAAGTCACCAAAAGTTGTACGGCTGCTCAGTGGCAATGCCAGAATTCGAACTTGGGTCTGCTTCCTCCAAGTGGGGGCCTGAGGGAGGGCGGCCTCGGTTGGCAGAGGTATTAACCAGTAGAGTGGGCAAGTCACTTTCTGTCTTTGAGCCTCACCTCCTCATCTGAGACAAGGCACCTGGCTGTGGCAGGGACCGCAGGACCCAGCTCATCTCTGTGTCCCAGTGCCTGTCACGGTTCCCGAAATCTACTACATGCTCATTAAATGCTTAGTGGGTAGGCACACGAGGCAGCTCTCATTGTGCTGGTGCAATGCAGGAGTGTCACGTTCCTTTCTTCCAGTAGGAAAGGCTGGAATCCCAGTGGGACCTTTCTGTTTTGGGGTGCCTCCCCACCAGCACCCCTCTGCCTCTTTTTCGTTCTTCCTCTCTGAGTCACCACCTGCCTGCCAGTGCCAGTCTTTAGCCCTAAATACAGAGCACATTTTGAGGCATAAAATGTCCACAAAGGTGAGCGACAGCTGCAGCCCCCTACCCCTGTGTCCCCTCCTCCTAGGCTGACCCCAGGTGGCCGCCCCAGGAAGCCCCGAGACTGGCGACCCCTGCTTGGCCCTAGTGTGGATCCAGAGGCTGCACTCTGCAGACAGTCCTCAGCCTGGGGCCCCATGTGCCCACACTGCCACCAGAGCTAAACTTCCTTTCCTCATTGGCCCAGGGCTGCCACCTCACACCTCTGACTTTCCTCATCCCCCAGCCAGGCTGAGTTGCCTCCCAGAGCTGGAGCTGGGCCCAGAGAGCGAAAATGACTCGTCCGGGCCACACAGCCAGCAAGAGGCAGGGCCAGGATTGGACAGGGAATCAGCACTCTGGCAGGCTTGGCGTGAGTGCTGAGGGAGCGTGCTGGAGCTGGGAGTCACTCACTGCTCCCCATCTAGCATGCCTGGCCCGGAGGCCTCACCTAAGCCCACAGAAGCACCTCTCCACAGCGCCAGTCTCTCAGAGGCACAGGGTGCCAGGGCCAGCCTGGCAGAGGTCTTGCCATGCAAGGAGGTGAGCAGAGAGTGCTGAGGACTCCCTTCCCTTCGCACCAGCTGGCCCCTAGCCTTGCTGGGAGGACAAAGCAGAAACGGGCCTGGTAATGCCTCTAGCAAAAGTGGAAAGGAAAGGGAACCCCAGAGCCACTTGGAGCCTGCGCTGGGGCCTGTCCTGTCTTGGGAAGGACCTGCAGAACAACACCTTCAGGGGCAGCAAAGGAGCAGCCTGGGGAGAGGCTCCCCTGGCAACCCGGTGGGTGTGTGCACAGAAGGGCGGCAGGAGAGGAGGTGCTTCCCACTGAGCGGGAAGCACCAGGCAGTTTCCCTGGATTCTTAGGGTCAGCCAAGATGGGTCCACATGAATCAGAAAAGAGGGAGGAAGGGGAGGCTTTGCTGGGGATGGTTGGGGGCCTCCACTCCCCTCCCCGGGTGATGAAGCGTTCACATCCCACACGCAGGAAGCTGATGTAATGCATGCGTGTGTGCACCCATGATGGCCTGGGTGTGGGTGGGTGCGTGTGCATGTCTGCCAGGTTCATTTTTAAGGGCGTAGGGCGTCCTCGTGTTCTTCCTGCGTGCGCGTGTACCATGTGTGCACCCTGCAGGAGATAATGGAGGCAGACAACAGCAGACGAGGGCTTCTGAAGAGGCTCTTCTCCTTGCTGACAACCTCCATCTCTCTGTGTGTACACACATGCCAGCATCTGGATGGTGTGTCTCTCAGTGTTTGTGTGTCAGGCAGAGTTGGGGGCAGGGGTCTTGGCCTGGGTGTGCCCGTGTGTTCCTGTGTCTGGGTCTCAGGGTATCTGTCAGTCAAACTGTATTTGCGTTTGTGTCTGGCCGTGCTCAGGTCTGGGTTGTTTGCACAGCACGTGCGGCTGCTCAGCAGCCTCTGACAACCAGGACAAAGGCCTCTGCAGACAGACGGCAGCATGGAGGACAGATCTGCCCGAGGAGTCCTCAAAGGGCCTCTTGGCCCCAGAACTTGACAGCAGGGCAGGGGCAGGACCAGGTGAGAGAGGCGGAGGCCCCGCTGTGGGAGCCTGTGGCCTGAGCGGCAGAGACCTCTCTCCCTGCTGCCCTCCAAGAGGCCAAAGGAAGAATCCTTTTGTCTCCTAAGGGTGGAGGGTAGTCAGAGCCAGGAGAGGGGTCTCCTGAGACCCCTGCCAGGCAGGCATCTTGGGAAGAAGAGGAGAGGGTTTTGCCCAAGGAAGCTGGGAAGGTGCCAGGGTGAAAGCACCATTATGGTGCTCCATGGGACAACCCTCCCACCATGGGAGGGGGTGGCAAGGTGAGCCTAGGACTCTGGAGCCTCTCTTCAACCTGACCCAGCTTCTGGCCACAGGCACCTTCCCCTCCTGGCAGCAAAGGGGAACAGGTCCACATGGAGCACTCTACCACAGCGTTCCCCTTTCCCCCACCCCAACGCTGTGGAGATCTGCTCCCATCAAGAGTCAGAGAACCACGATTCTAGACCTTGCGGAAGGTGACTAGGTGACCTCAGGCAGTTCATTTAGCCTCTCTGAGCCTCAGTTTCCTCATCTGTGCAATGGAGGCTTCAGCCCCTGCCTTGAAATATTGCTGTGAAGGGGGAAATTGCTCGTGCCACCTGAGGATTAATCATTACCCTGGAATCCTTCCCAAGGCCATCCAGGAACACTCACCCCTTGCCAGACCCTCCAGCTGCTGGGGGCTCTCAGAGTGAGGCTGAGGTCCTGGAGGGGGCCGCCATGGCCAGTTGGACCTGACCACTGTCTCCCCACTCAGCCACAGCCCTCAGGGCCCTGTGCCAGTCCAGAAGCCCATTCAGGGACACCTTTGGCCAATGTTCTGTTTCATCTGCGAGGCAACCTTCCCCAGTGCCCCCACCATAGCGTTTTTCCCCAAACACCTTCAGGAAGGAGGCACCACTACCTGTGCAAAGGGGCCAGGAGCCTCCTGGGAGCCTCCTGTGGAGAGGAAGTGATACCATCTCACCCCCATTGCCTTTCTCTCCTTCTTCCACCTGGCCAGCTTCCTTCAGTGCCCCTTCCCTCAGTGCCCCTCCTGCCTCAGTGCCCCTTCCCTCAGTGTCCCTCCTGCTTGCCGCCCCAGGGGCCTGACCTCTGGCTTGGCAGGAAGGGGAATGGAGCCCAGGGACAGAGGCCAATGCGCCCTGTGAGCGGTGGATGTTCTTCCCGACCCCACCACCAGGCCTGTGCTATGACCCTAACAAGGACTCTGAGGGCAGGCACAGGCTGGGGTCTAACTGTCAGGGTAGGGAGGGGGCCGCTCACCTCCGGAGACTGTGTGCGCGCGGGTGTGTGTACACAGGGTTTCTTCCCCAAGCCCAGGCGCCCCGCAGCTGGCACCAAACCCTGCAGGGCACGGAAACCGCCCGTGAATTCCCACCGAGTCCTCAGATCCTACCGAACCAGGGGAGGCGACGAGGGGGCGCCCAACTGCGTGACGCGTGTGCCCCGCTCTGCTGCGGGTCAGGGACAGGGGAATTCGCCCTGTCTCTGGGGATGCAAGGACATCACCGCCCTCCCCGCTCAGGGTCGTTGATCTGAGGCCCCCCGCTTCCCTTCTTTGAGAACAGGAGCGCCTCCTCTTGGGGGGCGCTAGGGCTTGGGCCCCTCCCCAGGGATGGAGGAAACGCGCCCACTTTCCACAGTCCCTCCTCTAAACCCCAGGCGCTCCCACCTCGGGGTGGGCGGAAAACCGGACTCCCTACCCACCCAGGGGGGTGGGACCAAAGCCCCCTGGCCGCGGCCTGGACCAAGTCCC